AGGCCATGAGAATGCGAGGCGAGGGTATTACTGTTGCGGCGACTACACTCAAGCTAAGCGAGCCTCAGCAGGAGATAGTCCGCTGCTCTCTGCTGTGCGTGTTTCAGCGCGAACATGTACGCAAGCGCGTCTTTTGATTTCAACCAATCAGCGCCGACGCAAATGACGTCACACACGACAACAGCTAAGCTAAGTTAGCCGAGACGACACTCGAAGTCGGACGGACACGATTTTCTGCCAATCTGTGTTTTTCCCTTTTTGGCCAAATATATTTTTTACGACAACTGTCTTGTTTACGGCGTCTTTTATTTGTTCCACTGGGGTTTAGCAGGTGTGTTTATAAAGAGACGAAAATTGTTTGGGGACTATCCCCGCGTTCTAGTTGAGATGGTATAACCCAAGAGGCAAAATGACGCTTGCTACTGTTGTTGCGAGTCGCCATTCTTTCTACTAAACCATTAGTCAAACGCCATCATGCCTTCTGTCGTTATTACACAAACAAAAATCTCTTTACTGTTACTAGTGTTAGTGCCTCAATATGGCTACGCTTGTGAAAGCAATACAACGAACTCAAACGCGTCTTCGTTCAATGTTGTCAACTAATATCCGGATTATGCAAATTTTCCTCAATTCTCCGGAGAAATTTTCATAAAAATTTGAAAAACCCGGAATTCCGGGAAAATCCGGAGGACTTTCATCTCTGCTAAATGTGTTGAGTTTTACTTTTGTGACATTTAACTCTCCCGCAACTGACTCACGTACAGTTTCTTTGTCCTACTCTGAACTCACATACACATCAATTAGTGAAATTCTTGATTTAGCACGCAAAAATGTGTTTTATTGTTAGGGTACCGACCACACATAAGGCGAGACGTCAGAGGGCACGCATCACTCCAACAACCCCTCCCAGTTCAAAAGCCTAACTAAAGAGCGACTGCCGTCCCAAAACATTGTCAGCGCTGGGTGTGTTCTGACCACTAATGGCAGCACATGTTATGCGATTCCTGATTATGGCAGTAAATTCTTCAATATGAGTTGAACACCGCCTGTCTGACAACTGTTTCAGTTTCAGTAACAGCGCGTTGTTTTTCCCCTTGCATACGTGACCAACGCATCCACTGAGTCCAACTGACTGACAGACAGCAGAATAAGTCATGCTGAGAAATCACACTAGTTTCACTTTGGCTCAGTTGTTTCTATTTTTTGTCAATAGGCCAAATATGAGACATTTTTCATAGAACGAAGAGAAATAATCACCCTGCAGTTACTTGCCCTAGCTTGTTTATTCACACATTAAATCAGCTGGATTTAGTTTGGAAAACAATCAGGATGGGGCATTTCAATTTCCTGAATCAATTATCAGTGAAAATTAACGGTGAATATTTGTAGGGAAATATTTTTAATGAGATGGGACTATCTCTCAATGATCTGATCTGACCATAACAAGTATTAATATTTTTTTTTTTTTTTTTTAATGAAGCCACTGGTGAGTATGCTGCATTTATGTGAGAAATTGCTTTTTGTGTGTGAGTGTGTGAGTGCCAATTTCGCTCAGCTTTGATCAAGCACACGTGCATTTAGGAGTTGATGCTCTTTCCTCTCAAACAGTAGCCCCTGAGGCCATTTTTAGAGCCTCCATCCTGTGACTGCTTCCTTCGGCTGATCGCTCATTTCCTTCCTACGCGTCTATTAAGCTCATTCTCCAACAACAATGGAAACACCAAATGGACGTCACACGTTAGTTTGGTGCAACCGTCACCAGCGTTTCCATTTTAACAGTCCAATATTAAGAGAACACAAATCTGCCACTAGACAGTTGGTGACCAAGCTAGAATGCCTGGCATGATTTGGCTGGTTGCTGGCAACAGATCGGAGGGAAGCAAACTGAAAAATGTGGCGTGGAGTTTTTGAAAGGCATGGGGAAACAAGTGCAAATGTCCCATGCAAACACAGCAATGCCACAAACTCTGTTGCTGCAAATAAACAAATTGACAATTGTCAACATGCTGAATGTGATTGGTTTCAAATCTGTTTGTGGGGCTTGAGGATGGACTGTAGTTTCTTGCTATGGTACAAAAAAAAAACACCAAAGTGTTGAATTCTTCATTCCTTATCGAATAAACTGAGTGTGTTTGTCTCTACTGCCCTGTTCCAATTGCCAGCCACTAATTTGATTTTTGCTATGCCCAGATTGATTTTGGGAAGTCAGAACAGTAAAAATTCCCCTGCCTCTGGCCCCAAGTCAGCTGGTACAGGCTCCAGTTGACTGTGACCCTAATGAGGCATGGAAATGGATGGATGGAAGCCTGAAGCGTGATCACAACTTTTTTTTTTTTTTTTTAATAATGGGCATCGACAATTGGCCAAATAAATATTCTAGACTTGCTACCGAGGTAGATAACATGGCTTTCTAGCATGGCTAATAACAACTTGTTTCCAAACTGATGTTACTTCTCAAAGAAGAAAACAACACCGAAAGTAGCGACTATTTTTGGCGGAGAAATAAGTACTTTTATGGTTGTGCTACATTTTTATTTTATTGTACAAAACTGGAGTTGTTTAGTTTCTTTTTACATTTACAAAGGTACCTAATATTATATATGCCGCTACTTACCAAAACATTTCAAAACCAAATATTTTAGGGCTGTAATGATAGCGTGGAAACGGCAATATGTTTGCTTAAGATTATCTGACACTGGCCCATATCTTCACACAGTGCTTTGCACCTTATTCACACCTGTCAGGTTGAGCCGTTCAACTTGTCACTCCTCGCCCAACTTTCACCCTTCATACGTCTCCTAGGGTACAACATTGCACTCCCTCCTAGGAGGGCCATTGCACCGATTTGCTCTGAAATCCAGCAGATGGTTCTCAAAAAAACAAAAACATCTCCATTTCAATGCCGCCTGTAGTGCAGGAGATTTGCTCGAGTCAAGCAAGCTAATGTAGCTGCTAACACAGCAGCCGGCCAAGTCTTTATGAGAAAGATGCAACATTCAAGTATGACGCTGCATTGTGTTTTGGGTCTGACTCATGTTTCAGTTGGCCAGCTGCAGTTTCACCAAAACATCCAGGCTTAGGTTGGGAAGGCAGTTGGACATGACCCCTTATCTTTTTTTCCCAGCTAGGAAACAGGCAGACATTGTTTCGAGAACATTCCATGGGCCCCCACGAAAGCAGACGTTCGTTTTTTTTGGATTGGAAATCAAAGGGAAAATACAGATGGAACTGATTCACATTTCAGAATATACTTAAGCCATCTGTTGAAGTTAATGGGCCATTTAATTCATGATTCATCAACAATGGCAAAGAAGTAACCCCGTCTGCTCTTCACAACAAAGAGGCGTACACAGTACAGACGGTCGAAACAAAAAAACAGGAGGAAACTAAACCAAAATAGCACATTCTAACATGTTTCTTCCAAATGTAGATTTAGAGAAGGTCAAAGTTCACCCGTAAAGGTTGTAGTGCATTTTAGGCTCGTCCTGAAATGTATATCGATATCAATAACATTTTGTGAGGAGTGAATGTCTTCACATGTTAGAATGACATGTTTGCCCAAGCACAGGGCGACCAAAAGTGGTTGAGTGTATGTTACCCGTATCGAAGTGACTCGGCTCCCTTGAAATTAATGGGCGACCAGGTGCTAGGAATTGTACCTTGTAGTATCTGGAAGAACTCGGTTCTACCAAGTAAAAGAGTGTCAATAGCAAATGAAGCCCTTTGGAGCCGAGTGGGTTCTCCACAGTAAAATGTGTTGTGTATGGTCTTAAAACGAGGCTAGATTTCTTCTGTAGTTATTTCAAATGTGAGCTGCATCCTCAGAGTTATTCAGAGATGGAGCATTTCATTGCGGCTCAATAGCCAGCCGCAATTTTTTTTAAACATACATGGCTTTGTGTCCCTAAGAGTATTTTTGAGGCTGGTTTAAAAAATGTCCGAATTATTTATTTTTTGCACCTGAGATTTTAGAGATTTTTCCAATTCTTTGTCTTTAACTTTGAGTGTAAAAAGCAATGCGAACTTTACCATGCATTGTAATTTATAGCTATGATGGTTCCGAAAAATGCCACCTGAACCTAACCCTTAATTCATGAATCTTACTGAATATATGACTAACTTTTATTTTTTCGACTAATTAAGATCACTTTTTAACAATCCAAGTATTTTGAGTATTCACCAACACAGTTATCGATACCTCTAGTAGTTGTGATACATAACATTTTATTGAACGAAATGACTGAAAGACAGTTCACACATCCGCCTCACGGAGCAGACGTCATGGGTTTGAACCCGGCCTTCCTGTGTGGGCTTTGCATGTTCTCCCTGTGCCTGCATGGGTTTTCTCCGGGTACTCCAGTTTCCTCCCACATTCCAAACACATGCATTGGACACTGAATTGCCCAGTGGTGTGCCGACAAGCGCAGATGGTTGTTCGTCTATGTGTGCCCTGTGATTGGCTGGCAACCAGTTCAAGGTGTACCCCGCCTATTACCCAATGACAGCTGGAATAGGCTGTCGTGGCACACCCACGACCCTTGTGAGGTTAAGTGAATCAGATAATGGATGGATGATCAATAACGACAGAAAATTGTGAACAAAGACCTTTGTTCCTGAAGCAGATGATGATTGGCCGATCTGTCAAATTGCCGCAGTGCAGCACCAACTACTGCTGAGGAGGAGGATTTTTCTTTTTTTGCCCTAAGTATTGGTGACTGGGATCAGCAGCCTCCCCAAGTACCTGATATCTTAAAAAGGCCACCCATTGGCCTGATACCAATACCTGGTATTGGTACTCGCCCATTTCTGTTTATTATTCTTAAGATGAAAAGCTAGTGTGCTAGAGAAAAAAAACAAGGGCAGTTTTGTAATCAGTGCAAAAATTGCATCAAGAAAAGTTTACATTTGGTAAAAAAGTGCTGACCAGTGTTATGTTTGAGGTGAGTTGCCTACTTACGATCAAGTCCATTGATGTACTTCATGGATATCTCACAATGGCCCCACACAGCACTGACGATGGGATGTAGTTTCTTGCCCTTCAATCCTCGGAAGGCCACTCCTAAATACTGTCCCTCCACCATGAAACTCAGCGTGCCTTCGTCCATGTCTAGAATGACCAGCAGGGAGTCCGGCAGTGTGAAGGCCTCCTCCGGCTCCAGGAAAGAAGGGTACGACGGCAACGAGCTGTGGGCCCTGTTTTTGCTGTCATGGTAGAGGCGGTTACGTCCCAGATCCCAGCCCCAGGACTCGCAGTCTGACCCCACCAAGGCAGTGTAACCGACGGAATGTAGGGGCGCTTCAGAGGTGGCTACCCCAACCACTGCGTGGGTACCGCGCTGTCGGCAGGGCCAGTGAATCCTCCAGACATGGAGTCCCCTCGTGTAGCCGATTCGACCCCGGATGCAGTCCGTGCTCTGAGCGACCGGGTGGCGGTGAAAAGTTAACTTATCCTCCTCTTTGATGAAAATATTCAGCGAACGGTCATCTGCGTTCCACGCGTGACGAAGTTGGGTCTCCAGGCTGGCGCACGGCATGTCCAGAAGGAGATCCAGCCTTGGAGGTTTGGAGAAATCGGGGCCCCTCAGCTCTGGGTGCTGCGTGCCATGAGCTGAGGGCCGGTAGGATGGGGAACCGCCGCTTTCCCCACGGCCGTCCACAGATTTGATGCCACCTGAGATCTTCTGGCCCATGGCCACAACGGAATACGGGGTGGGGGCGGGGGTGATGGGGAGGGTGGTGTTTGTGCAGGTGGGTGCTACCCTGAGCACGGCGTAACGTTACCTCATCAATGCGGTGCAGCTGAAGTGACAGGTCCCCACTGAGGTGCGGTAGAGGGAGATGGATGAGGAGGAGGAGGAGCAAGTTACGAACGAAAGATGACTGTGATCAGCTCTCATGCCCCAAATGTCTTTGGGAGAACACAGTTGCTGCTGCCAACCCTGTTGACAGAGAACAAAAAGGAGGCAAGTTTGGAAAAGGCATCCAATTATTTTGTAGTTTTCAAGAAACCAACAAGTACAGCAACACCATTGCACACTTCTACCAAGAATAAAGGGTGCTCATTTCGAAGCCTCGAACAGTACAGTGTCGAAACCAAATATCACCACACGGCAATGAGCGACCAGTCCAGAGTGTCGTCTGGGTTTTGCTCAAAGTCATCTGGGATATGTTCTGGCTCCTCACAACCCTAAATAGGATATGCGCTAGAGAAAATGGATGAAAAAGATTAGCTTAACTGCAGACATATATTAAGGCCAAACAAAAAAGATAGTGTGTTTCCGGTAACATGAAATTTCAGCATAGGGTTGGTAGGTCGAACAAAGTTTTTTTCCCATCAAAAATTTTAACAAAATAACCATAAAACATAAAACAAGAAGACATTGAACCG